AGTCGACGGTACACGATAAATCACGGAAGAAGCCAGCGGAACAATAAAATTGCATTTCACGCCCGTGGCGCGCACGCGGGCAAACCGCGCGTGCAAGTTAGCGCCGAATCCCGATCTCGCTACGCGTAAACCCGGATTATATAATCCGGACGAAATTATCGGCGAATCTGTATCCACGGGAGAGGAGAGAGAAAATGATCGAATCACACATCGGTAGTGAAGTTACATGGAGAAGCGAATACGTTGGGATTAATGCGATCATGCATCGCATCGTGTTTGTCGATTGTGCTCGTTGTACCAACAGCTCATTGTATGCACGCCGCGAATTAAGGGTTTCATGTGAAACGGCGATGATAATCCGTTAATATCATACTAAATTTTCTTTTTATTCACAACATTATCAGCCCGATGCCCTCGTTATTTGAACTCTTGCTTTTGAACTGTTGTCGCACTGGCGGTTCCATTAATTCCAATTCACATTCGGCTTATATTAAAAATCGTGGTGCAGCGGATGTAACATTTAATTAGAATACTTGGTGGTATTTACAAATAGCACACAGAAAGAACGGTTTTGTTGAAATATCCAAAATTTCAGCTAGATACAAATCTGAAAATTTTGTTTGAACCATCAAAATGTAGAACGCTTAAATTGATTAGTAAAATATTAAAACTTTTTGTAATATTATCATCAACGCTTAAACATTTTGCTTGTAATTTTGTTGATTTCCAAACAATTATTTTCAGATCTGTATCTAATTAAATTTTTAGGTACTTCAGCGTTCTTTTCTTTGTTAAAATTACTGATTTATGAAAAATGACGACACGCTCTAAAAAATGTGGATATGGATTCAATTATATGTATTTGTATAATTTTCACTGCTGATATTAATGTCAACATCAATATGTATGGATTTAAAACCCATGGTGTTTATATTAACACTAACATCATGTGATTTTAAATCCACACATATTGATGTTTACATCAATATATGGTATACACAATACCAACACGGTAAAAATTATATAAATATAGTGTTAAATCCACACCCATATTTTTTTAGAGGGAAACGTTTTCCTTTCTTCCTGACAATTTAATTAATATCATCTGCAATGACCCATTATACAAAACGCTATTTTTTTCATTTAATAATTCTCAAAATGTTAAAAAAAGGAATTGATGTTGCGTAAAGAGAATTTTCATATTTTTTCACATCAGCGTAAAATACTTTCAATACAATAATTATGTTATGTCAATAAACTCGCGGTAACATGGATACCATATTCTCATTACATAAAATGTTCCATAGCCACTATACAACGCTTTAATAGCATATTTTGGATATTAATTGGAGTTGAAAATTTTGATATGAGAAGATCACGATAGTCTCTCGAGTTATAACGATCCAAATTGATTAATTAATTCCACAGAATTTGCACACTCAGTCCCTCAACTAATTACACGTGAACCGATGTGTTATCTGTTATTTATTTTTTTTCAACTCAAATATTAATTTTTATTAATTTTACTTTTTAGCTTCAGATATAATATTATTTTAGCGTTTCACATTAGTTCGCTTTATATCAAAGTTCAGTTATCAATAAATGGCGTAATCATAAATATAATTAATAATAATTCGTCTCTTTTTATTAAATAAATCGTTGGGATATTTTACGTAACTGTGAAATATTTACTATTATTCTTTTATTTGCTGGTGAAATACGGATTATTGAAAAAACTTCTGAATATTGCTTTCTTGCGCCAGTTTATGTAACATTAAATCCTGAAGGAGTCAAGCACGAACCTCTAAAATTTTATTAAAAATGTATTTAGGAAGAGAGAAAAAAGAAAATAAAGTAACGCATCTAAATATTAATAGCTTCTCCATATTAATTGTTTTTCTATTAATTTATTTTTATTTTACACAAATACAAAAAATACTTTAAAAATATTTGTGTCAGTAAACTAAATTGTCAATCACACATTAACAGTAATAAGTAATAAGTTATATATATGATGTCATATATATGACAGTACTAATCAATTTCTGATGGAATGGCTAACCGATTTCCAGCGGAACATTAGTTGAAAGATGATCCTAACGTTGATCAATGTTCTTTTCAAAGTCGAAAAGTTAAAAAATGTCGGCAGTTTCATCTTGATATTGATGAACACTGTCGAATTAAGAAATAATTATATTTCATAGATATTGGAACGAAAACCTGAAATAGTAATTTAATTCTCATTCCTGTCGCATCGATTTCTCACATCCAATGAACAAATTGTGTAAGACATCTTTTTCAATTAATCCTTGACACACATGACAGGATCATTCGTGCCCTGTGTATTTTTCTTTCTTTGAAATGTATTACTAGGAACACCGAGTAATTACAATTATAATTCGAAATTAGATCGATGCGATGAGAATAAATCTAATTAAGAAAACTCCTATTTTTAGTGAAAGCGGATGTTATAGCACTTAAATATTTTGGTGCGAATTTATTATTATACATGTCCAATTCTGTAAACTGCGCGCTGAAATCTTTTCAATCCTGAAATGCAATCATGAACAAAAGTTTTGTTTATGATTGCATTTCAAAACTGAAAAAGACTTCGGCATACAGTTTGCAAAATTGAACATGTATGTAAACACCGAAATATTTAAGTACTGAGATCCACTTTAAATGAAAATAGGATTTCTCTTACTTAATTAGACCAAGTAATTAATTACAACATTTATATACATTTTTTTTAATGCACAACTTTACAAATACTTTTTAAAAATATTAAAGTATGAATTACTTACTAATTTTTGTATATTTGTAAAGTAATGAAAAAATTAACCCCACCAACGACCTATCTGCTTACTCATCCGTCGAGAGTCCATTATTCACGTAGTTCAGTACCACTAATTGAATAATTGCGTCTTCTAGCACTTGTCACTACTGTATTTAGTAGAATAATGCGGCGATATACAAACGACTCATGACACTACCCGCCCTTTCATCTGATCTCGTGAATGAATAAGGGCCTCTTTCATTAATTCTGATTAACGCTAATCGATAGTTAACTCAATCATCACGATTACTAACATGAGAACTGAACACAGTTTATCTCGAAAGAGGAAGAAAGAAGAAGTTCTGATTCATTGAATTGCTATTGGCACTTCTGCGAATTAATCATCGATTAACTAAACTAAAGCGACTCAGTTGTACGATTACTTTGCATATAGACGCAAAAACAAGCATCGAACGGTGTTATCATGAAATATTTAATACGTTCCGAAAGATAAAGGTACGTTGAATATTCTCAAATCAATATTCATGAATGATGTTATTATCGCGTATTGCGCGCTTTATTTCGCAAACCTGTTAGCGTCGCTTAATTGAGTTATCGATTAATTTTCGGTAACGATCGAAAATTTTCATGCAAAAGAAAATTATATAATTTGCATATAAAGGTTAAAATTTGTTATTCGATATAATTAAATTATCGAAAAAAAGTATTAATTAAATTATCGTCAAAATTAGTCGAGAATTAAGATTACTATATTAATAGTAATTATGGTTGAGAAAAAAATAGACTGAAAAATAATAATTATTAAAATAAAAATTACTTTAATTAAAACAATAATTAATGTGCATAAAAAAATCAGTAATGCATAAATGCAATTATAGGTTCATATTTGTTTTACTATATATTTTATTTCAGAACAGAGAGAAAAATTGATAAAATTTTAGAGAGAAAGAAACGCAACATACATACATATTATGAATGATTGTTCACGTTTATTAAATAACCTTTTATTTATATTTCGCATAGATTATTTATAAAAAAAAAAACAGACCCATGGAGTTTAAAATATAGCGACTTATTGATTAATATAGATCGCGTTTTAACAAAAATTTAATTTTTCGTGGATTAAAGCTTGATGTAGCTGACCGTAGCGAATTCTGGAAAAAGATTCGATACATTGGACCTGTGAATATCGTGCCACGGTTTTTTCACTGTGGATAAAGTTTTACGTGACTCAGCTAAAGACAGTATAGTGAAAAAGGGATCGTGAACGTTCAAAATGCCAAACGAACGAGTTTTATCGAATGTCACAGATTTCGCTGACAGAGCATATGTCCAGCCGTTGCCACATATTTGCGGGAGAAACATGTTCGATCGTTCGGATACCTCTCACATATACCTTGCACACATACACACACATAGATGCGTTTACAGCGAGAGAAAGGCAGCCACAGTGACCGTAAATCTGTAATTTTAGCTCGAACGACTGATGGGCAACGAATGTATATACATGTGAGATCGTGACGGACTACATTAATATAAACCACTAACAAATAGTAAATCAATATCAAAATCACTTCTGATCAAAATCACGTTGATCTAATAGATAATTGACTTAATTAAAGCAGTTTTGAATCCAATTTTTTTGTTAAATAATTTATTTAATTAATCGTGTTATTATTATTATTTTTGATATTATTTAATTTATTATTATATTTGATTTATTGAAATGACACGTTTTCCGCCCGAATTGCATGAATAGAAAAAAAATAATAAATATATCAGCATTAATTTATAAATATCTTTAATATTTGAAAAATGAATTCTATCAACATATTACACAAAAGAATCATTAATATTTCTCTAAAGATATGTAAAAAAATATAAAGAAATTGGTTCGATTGATCACACAGCTAGTGGCTAAACAGTTTAAAATTGTAATCAGCTCACTGAAGCTTATCGAACATGAGTGTTACTTTCTTCATAGTGCAGGTGCAATAGCTATAAATAATTTCAAATCTAATTCAATAAAATATAGAGATTTAGTTATTTCTATATGAAAATCTTGAATAACAAAGCCATATAGAGAGATTCGATACCGATCGCGTTTTTTACAAATAGCGATATCTTTTGATTTGTAGGTGACGAATTTCAGTATCCAACATCTGGCCACTCGTCCTGAGGGATATATAGATCAGAAGTAAGGATGACCTTCCATTGGGATAAGCTCTCGCCAGCTGAATTCCAACAACTTCAGGACTTGGCAGCTTGTAAGTAGCAAAAGAAAGAAACGGAAAAGCAAGTACTGAAACGTGTAAAATAATGCAGATAAATCACAACGGATAACTAGACTTTCTTCCTTTTTCCTTTTGAATTTTTTTACAGGTCGTAAATCCTAAAGTCTGCGTTACTGATGAAGTTTTAACCAACTTTGACTTATCTAGCGTCGGCAAAATTTAACACGAACAACTTTATGTACACCTGGCTTAATTTTCGCTTAATAGACGCTGTTATTAATTTGCGGACACTTAACGAAGATTAGTCTCTTAACTATTTATCAATATGCAAGCTGATTTCAAAGTTCTGAACAAGGAAGATTATTTGATATAAAGAATCGATCAAAATAAAGTTTCAAAAATTTTTTAACACTATAATATTTGCAAATTTGTAACCGTTATTATATGAATTGTTCATGACAGTATTAGAATATTTATCGCAATTTTATTTCTATTTGCATCAAAGTCAATGCATTAATTTTACATTTTTCTCAACAGTTTCAAATTCGAACAGTTTGTAATTTTGAGTGTATACTTGATTAGACGACCATTCATGCAGTGCCCTCCGAATGAATCAAATGGCGTAATTTTGTTTGCTCCGAATCGGATCGAATGTGCGATAATTTTATCCCGAATTTACTCATTGAATACAAATGAGCTTCTCGTGTTGCCTGTTGCGTTCTTTAAAAGTTTTGTTGCGATGGAAGTAACTAAAGTTACGCGCGCTATCGGGTTACGCGACTATCGTTGCACGAATTAGATTATAGTTACGAGAAAGTAAGTTATTTGAACAATGAAAGATAATATAACATTATTTGTTACCGTCAAAGCGTAAATTAATACGTAAGATAATACGTTGTAATAAAAAACATTCTGATCTTTTGTTAAAATGTTTTATAACCGCGTGTTTCTGATAGAATAGAACAATATAATTTTTTTTTAATACATAAATGTAAATTTTCTACCTGAGACTTTCATGTGGCATAGTGAATATTCTTAAATTATATGGCTACCAACGGGGCACTATCTTTAATTACAGATAGCACTTAACTCAATTAAATATAACTGAAACGAAGTGGTAATTAGCTCCGCTTAATTACGCAGAATGAAAGTCAACAACTGGAAGTTTGTTGAATGAAAGCTATTAAAAATACATCAAAATGGATGTAAAACGTAAATACTATCATGTTGAAAAGAGAAATATCGAATAATCAGCAATTTATATGTCTTCGTTTGCTCTCTTCTGTTACAAAGCATCGTGCAATTCGCGCATGTTGTTTAAAACAAGTTTATAAAATAATATGCATTTAAAACTTTAATTAAAAATATTAAGTGCGTTAAGTAGCTTGCAATATTTTCTTGAAAACCTCGTAGATATTTTCGCAGATATTGCTTTGGATAAAAACAATCGCGAGATTTCAAGAAATTCCCGATTGGAATGAATAATTAAAACGAACACATATATAAAATCGCTTGTTATGTATAATCTCACTGATATAATATGTAGATCCGAACGTTGAAATTCGTATAATTTTACCGTATATTTCCGTGCGATTTAGCGATCGTTACCGACAGTAAACGCTCTCCGAATTTTCCGCGCATTAACGCCTCGATCGCGGGTTTGATGACGTACAGGTGTTTCTCTACTGTCTAGTATTTTACATCCGACTGACAGGAAGATGCGAGGCTGTAGCAACGCCTATGTCTTTCGAGAAGAAGCAACATACGCAACGTTCGCGCAAGAAAGCACTAATGCATCGAACAAGCGCTATACTTTGTCGTGTAAGCTAAATAAATTGCCGCTGTTCGTCAACAAATTTACTGGCATTACCGTAATATGGCTTTCATCCTGGTACATAATCTTTTATTCGAAATAGTATAACATTGTGCGAAACAAAGGATTTCCGCAGAAATAGGATGCGATTGCAAAATGAGCGAGATCAAGGAATTAATATCACTAATATCAGTAATATTTAAAAATAATCTAACAAGTGTACATCACATTTATCGAACGGAAAGAACGGTTTTACTGAAGTAGATACCTAAAAATTTAGTTAGATATAGATCTGAAAATAAATTTGGTGGCTATAAAAATAATTATGCAGAACACTCAAGCTGGTTACTAAAATGTCAAAACTTTTTACAGCATTGCTTATTATGCTTGACTTTTCTCTCTGCACAATTATTTTAATAATCCAACAAAATTTATTTTCAGATCTGTATCTAATTAAATTTTTACTTAGCTTCAGCAAAATAGTTCTTTCTGTACGTATTTTAACTGGCATTAACTGATAAACATTTTCTTTAATTCTCTCCTAAGTTAAATAATAACGTAGAAATAATTATAAATTAAATTATAAATCGACTGTACAAATCAAAGATTGTTTAACAAAAAATCAACATTAAATTTATTTGAAAATTATTGCTTGAGCGTCTACAACTTTTTAAAATAGAATAAATATATATTAAAAATGAATAAATTTATCGTAATAAGTATAGTTTTTGAAAAAAATTGCTTTGTCATAAAGTTACTGTTTACGATTCATTTGTGTGGATATTCTACTGTTATAAAATAATTGTTCAATAATTATCGGGGCAGTTATGCGAGATGGACAGACATCGAGGCGGAAACGTGAATTTTAGCTGGATGCATTAATCATCTGCCCGTTCGAATACGATCCATCGTGGCCGTCAATCGGCTCGAAAATAGTAGTCGCCCAAAAATATCCCGATCCATTAAGTGCATTATGACGTCAGTGAGGGTAGATTAGGCCAATGGCCTCCTATTATTAGTCAATTTATCACCGTTGTCTCTTCTGTAAACAGTTGACTTCGAGATGGTTGATCAATCGCTCTCTCTCTCTCTTCACTGTCTATCTATCAGAAACAAACTTGTTCGTGACACATTTACTGACGTATCGAATCGTACAGCCAGAAAAAATCTCTCACGAAATATTGATATATTTATAATTTTAATGTTTTTTTTAATTCCATTTGTTGGAATGATCAATTTATAAAACTAAGACTGGAAGCATTTTAAATATTAAAAAAATTTTTAGTATTTGTGTCATACACATCACCAATCAAATTTTGTTGATCCAATAAAATTACTTTTTTAATTTGCTTTTACGTTTTATACGTATTGTTATGAAACATTTTATTAAATTTTCGACTATTATAAAACATGTGTTATTATTTAAATTCCCTTTGATACCTGACAATTATTCTTCCAATATTATAGAATAAAATTTAACTATGAATGCAATAAATTATCAAACCGTTAATTGTTTCTCAGATTCCACACGGAAGCTCCAGGATGTTCTGGCCGAATTTTGTGGGAGCAACACGACGCCGAGTGGCGTGCCGAAATATCATCCGGACGGAGTGAGTTATATAAAGATTAATCCATATTTTAATCGTAACCGATAAACCGAAGCGTACGCATAAAAAATTTAAGAGGATATTTCCAGTCTATAAAAAAAAATGTATCGTGTTTTAAAGATAGGGCGAAATTAAGCGAAGATGTATCTCTAACATTAAAAAATGAAAATATTTTATGCGATGTTATTTTAGTTTTTCATTCGACACTGTCGTGATACTCTATTCTGTAAATGTTATTTTTTGCAAAGTATACGTTTGATTCCATAGAAATTTCCGCAAGTTTTCTGTGTAAATCGATAGATGTGAAGGATTCTACCGAGCGCGAACACGATTTCGTTGCCGTCTCTCGTCTCAGGTGCACTTCAACCTTTCTATAAAATGAAATTGAACGATCGGTGTGCTCAAGAGTGCACTTGAGCGACAAATATCTACTTAACTTGGACGCAAGCTGTTTAAACAAGTTTTCAGGAAACGTGATATTTTACGGAAAACCGCAACAGATACATTCATCCAAAATGATTTACGTAAATAATTAGTATTTTTAGCCGGTGGCAAGAACGAATTTGTAATTTTACAAAATGTTAGTCGACCTCGTTGCAGCTGTTCATCGATGAAAAATTTTTTGTCGTCGTATTGAAGAAGGAGACTATCATTCCAGAGGAAACTTCTTACCGTTTTATCTGTTTTATATCGACTGAAGTACTGTCAGATTATATAAGCGTACAGTTTATATATTTTGAGTGAAAGCTATACAGGAACGACATAAAGCGATGGTATAATACGGTTCACAGCGAGGAAGCATTTGTTCCATAAAATCGTAAACTATTCCCGCTAGAATAACATTCGAAACACGTACGATTCTCACGGACAGGTGGAAGTTATTGCGTGCTCGAGTTATACAAGAAGAACGGACGTATAAGAAAGTTCCGCATTCGGCGACGCATTAATGATTGACTCAAATTTCTGATGTTAGTCGCATGCGAAATTACTTCGTGCACGAAAAGAGGTTTCTTACCGCAAATACGTACGCATGGACCATTAGTTTAAGATAAATTTTATGAGAATTGTATTAAAAGACCAAAAGCAATCAGGGTTGAATTCTTCTCTCCTTCTCAGTATATATAATATACATTCTAAAATTTTCCTTCGTAAACTTGGCTTTTTTTCAACAATAAAAATATGATACGACAGTTCTTCGGAATTGGCAAATCCGCGGATTTTTAAAAGTTTTTCAGCGCATGCAGCTCATAATGTGACCGCCGCGAATTCGTCTCGCGGATTTCACGGCGGAACTAAAGTCATTCCTCCAACTTCGACACCCCTCGCTATTTCCTGACAGTCGTTTTACTTTTGCGTCAGCGTACGATGTATTGGAACAATGTGCAACATCGGCATAGCATACGTCTATAAACGTAAACATGCGGGAACACGTTTAGCTCTCCTGAGGAATATTAACTCCAAAACTAAAACAGATTGCTGAAGTTGCGACGATGTTTTTTTTTGTACGAAGTACTCGCCGACACCGTGTTTACCGTTCGTCACAGTTTGTCGTAACACGCGTTGCATCATGATGATATATCGATTAAGGCTTCTTTTACGTGTATCTCGCTTGTGACTAATGGAGCAACTTTTTGCAAAAATTTTGCATCAAGTCTCGTGCGAAAAGTTACGAGTCTCGTTATAAATATTCAAATGGCTAATGCATCAACGAAATGCGCAAGCTTTTTGAGAGTCATGATAATTTTACTTAATAATCCCATTCCTATACTTTTACACACTCGTTGAAACAGAATCAGAAATATATCTTTTGTTAATATTTCCTTTTGATAATGGGACAGTTATTATAACAAGCTACAAGACACATCTGCGTAAAAACGACTTGAACGTTTATTTTCGACTAAATTCCTGAACCCTTATAAAACCATTGTGAGTTACAACAAGAAGTATGATTCATGATTACTACCGACGGTAGTAATTTCATAGCACGTTCCAAGTTGGGGTTCCCTTTGAAGAGCGATCTAAATTACTTTCTTCTATGTTGCCGGCGTCTTTCCGCAAATTCCGACCGCGCGACATTTTCAGACGGTGAGCAAATTTACTGCCCCATCATCGACGGCGATATAATCCACCGTTCTCGCGTAATATTCTCATATGAGCGACCGGCCAGAATTTCACGAGGCATTAGTCTTCGAGTAATTATTTTAAAATGGCAATAAAGCTTGGGTTTCTTACAGGATCGTAAAAAATTGCGTCATCAAAGCGGTTGGATTTTATGCTGGACACTCTTGTCTAAAGTTTTGTGTTTCTCAAAATGAAGAAGAAAATGACTTGTATAACTCTAACGTATACACCGTAATAATGCCGCAAAAGCTTTCTGTTCGTTTTGTAGCGGTACGTGCTGCAGAGATTCCGCAAGACACCAGCAGAACTTGTTCGTTGGAAAGCACAGAAATTGCATTCTTACTAAGAGTGTCACAATGCTTACTGATCTTATTGCATACATAGTAACAGTTAAAATCCATTAACGTGAAGCTATTGTTACGAGAAAGATTCCGTAAACTTTATTTACGCACACAGCCAGCGACGCTATTCGCACAGGATCGAATATTATTCGTTTTATCGTATACAGTGGTAGCTGGTAGGAAAATATCGTCAACTTCGGTATACGATTACGTGAGGCAATATTGATAAATTTAATATATAATTTAATAAACTCTTCATTAACTTCCAGTAATAATTTGAATCTCACTTTTGAATCTTTTATAAATATATACATTAATCTTCTTCCTATAACTTGTACGTGTATTTTGTATTTTTATCTCTAATCGATACCCGCTCTCTCTTAACTGATATTCGCGGATCCAATATATTTCAAATTAATCTTTGCTTAAAGTTAACATGACTAAACGATTTTTTTTTTCATTTTGAAGGTCAAAATCCGTAAAATAAGATTATGTAACTTAAAACTATGTAAGGTTATGAAAAACATTTGTTATAAATAATTTTTTATAACACAGTTGAAGGAAATGTTCGAGTCCGCTGGATACGTGAATATCGATTAGGATTAAATACTTCACTGTATAAAAGAGAGGAAAATGTGGTAAAATAAAAATAACTAAAGTTCAATTTTAAACTTAATCTTATATGCTCGTGTATGTTGTTGTGGGTGTATGTGAATGAACCGTGAAGTAAATTACACTTTGAGAATATAACAGATTATTTTCTTTGCCGCGATATTAACATCAAATATGCCAGTTCAATCACAAAGCCATTGATCACAAAGCCAAATCGAACCGACCGATATTGCGTCAACATTTACAACCGGAGTCCTTTGTGCAAGAGAACGCAACTTGGTAACCCTCCGTAGGATGCGACAATCGACATCGAATGTTAAGAGGTTACATCGGTTACGAGAGCAAGAGGTCCGGAAATTCCCTTGCGGACGTGGTCTTTTACCGTGAAGCGTAACCGGTGTCGAGAACTCATAATTGGAGATTCCACCGAGGGACAAGCGTGCGTCAACGGCCCGATAAGAGGTCACATTCAACCACAGGTCTGACACACGAAACGAGCGCTGCGACACTCGATTCCCTCGATTATAGTCAACCGAATTTACGATTTGCTCGAACCAGATTTCTCTGCGTAAATAAATTTAATCGTTTGAAAATCACAAGTTTTGTTCTACGATTAATTAATTAATCGTCACATTATTAATTGTATTTAGATAAGTTCTTTCTCATTATATTTATAGACGAAAGTTTTGTAACTAGTTTAATTAGAATTCGTCTGATTTATAGATTATATATCTAAAAGCAGTATAATATTTTTTTAGAAAAAAAAACACTACATCAAATTAAAAAATTTAATGCAATAATTATTTTTGTAAAATCGTACTTATCTTGTACGATTTATTTATATATTTTATCCTTATCTTTCATGTCTTATTCAAAAGTTTTACTTATTAATTGTTCCGAAGCATCATTGCAAATAATACGAATAACATGGTCACGAAACAATAACGTTGAGGTTCGATAATTGCGAATTTAATTGAATAAATGCGTAATATATATTGCTAACAGAAATATTCTTGTCCGATAGCGATAATAGTCAACAAAATGCCATATGTACAAAAGCGGAGACAAATAGCTCGGCATTAAATCAATAAAATTGCGATGGATGAACAGAGTTGCTTGCGTTCGCTCGTTAGTGTAGGAAACACTGTTGAGATCTCATAACTGAATAGCCAAGAGAGAGTTCAGGTTTTGCGGCAATGGTCTAAATGATCACATTCAGCGCCCTATATTAATTGTAGAGTTTCGAAACATACCAATGTATATCATCAATATTGCACAACTCAAAGATACGGGGATTTAAATGATCAGCAAGAATTATACATCAAAAGCTAGAGAATTTATTCAATTCTACAAGTAGATCGGAATTATTTTCTGCCGTTTATATTCTAGAAATATGAGATACATTAAATTAATATGTAATTTCAATTTATAATTTAATTTAAATGTAGCGATAACAATTTTTATAAGTGGTTGTCGTCAAAGAAACATTGTAGGTCTGATAAACTCAATTCAAAGCTCGAATCAAATGGAGACCAAAGACTGTGACGTCAGAAAGAAATCCAAAAAGTATACTTGATGGTCTATTCACGTTATCGACGCAAGCAGAATTCTTGAAACGAAAGAAAATAATCGAACGAGTTAAATGGCGATAAGAGAAGGAGAAAAGCGAGAAAGAGAGAACCGATTACGCCCATCTAAAACGAGAATCTTGGAAGAATATTTAACTAGAGCTGTAAGCAGAGATTATGCTACTTGTAAGATGTCGATCGCTCATTTCATTTCTCCAATCTTACAAGTTTAAGGATTTATACCAGTTAATAGTCTACGTAGGATATCTGTACCGAAATCTTTTTCTGGAGCGATATAAATATAAATTTATATTTAATTATTTGAAAAATATAGTATTTCATACATAAAAGGAAAAAGTAA